AAGAATACATAAGGTGGGGAGGAGGGGGGGGGGCGCGGTATGTAACTAAGCCAAGGTTGACAGCTGGAGGTAACTATTAACAAAAGGTATAGACTCTTCTTTACAGACGGCACACTTTTGGGCAGGTCCACTACATATGGGTCATATTTCCTTAACCAGGGCAACCTCAAAAGCAGGTAGAAGGGTATGTTGGGACACATTTTGCTATTCTAGGAATGGTAAAGTACCAACAGCAAAAAAAATCAGAATTCTCCAAGGCTTGTATGTTTCCAGTACTACTAGGAAACACGAGCCATATATCTCATCACACTCTTCTGGCATTAAAGTTTTGTTAAGCTCAAAAATTAACTACCTCTGATTAGTCAGCCTGCAGTAGGTAAAAAAAAAAAAGAAAAGGGGAGCTTGAGTTTAGCAGGAGGGTATGCCAGTTGAAGGGACACATAACTTCCCCCACAAGGCCTCATACTGGCAAGGGATCAGCGCAACAAAATGTTGTGCAATAACATAATATTAAGTACTTGAGTTAGAACAAAGAGATGGTCCTCTTGGTGCGAAGTTGATAGTCCTAAATGGTCATGCATAAACAAGGTCTCCCTCAGCCCACATAGTACCCGACAGTCCAGAGGACAACAAGTAAACATATCACTAAATGGAAGATGCAGCCAACATGCTGGTTTTTGGATGCTTAATATTTATAGGTATGCCCCACAAATAAAGGGTTGTGTCATATCCATGAGAAATCGAGTTGCATTTCTTGGGTTATGTATAAAACAATAATCAGGTGTATTTGCCAGCGCATGGGGGAACCCTGCAATGTGGTTGGGATAGTTCAGTTTTATTGAACTGCAATGGAGGGCCTTTACTGCCCACTGAGAGGGAAAGGGTTCGCAGATGATAATACAGCTGTGATCAATAGGTATAGTGGATCGGGAGAGAAGACTCCTATAGTACAAAGATTGTGAAAAATATATGTGCATAGTTGGATGCCCCTTCGGTGTCCCAATGCTGCTCCTGTGTGTTCTAGAGTGGCAAGGAATAGCTTGGGAGAGAGTCAGTGTAAGATAACGTCGACTGGGGCTGTCAAGGTAACCAGGGTGTGTGGAGCAAATCTAATGAGCGGCTCTTCAGGTCCATGGCATGCATGTGCTACCCCAGATGAATTGGTTTTCAAGAATAAATCTGAATAAGCATTTATAACATTACAACCACCTCCTAATTCTTGGCAGGTGTGGGTGGAGTGCAGTCTGCAGTCAGGACAGCATGTCAAACTCGACATAATTACTGATTTACCATGCACAAGCATGCAGTCACATGTGCCCTCTTACTTAATCAAATAAAACTAAATTAGACATTCACTGCCCTAGGGGTGTCTGGAGCCAGGAATGCAACCTCCAATTAACTGAAGGAAGAGAACAGTGACTGGTAACGCATACAGAATATCCTCCTGCATAAAATGGCTGCGGTGTTATGCTGGGTGGGTTTAACACTTTAGAGTTTATGCAAAACAAAATCCTCAAAGATAATGCTTTGAGACACAGTGAGGGGGATTTATCAGAACTGGAGCAGACCAAAACTGAAGTGGCTGTGCATGGAAACCAATCAGCTTCTCTCTTTAGTTTGTTCAGTTAAGATTTGAAAATCAAAGAGAGAAGCTGATTGGTTGCCATGCACAGCCGCTTCAGTTTTGGTCTGCTCCAGTTTTGATAAAATTCCTCTAAAAGTATCTGCACTGAAAGCAAATCATATTCTCATTCTACTGTAACTGGCACAGAAATCTATTCCTCTGAAATGAACACAGAATGAGCATGCTATTTAAAGGTGAATTTGAGGTTGAATCAGCTAAATACATTGCAAATGCATCAAAACAACAAAGTCAAAATTTACCAAGTTAACACACCAGTATAAGGAAACCAATTTTCTGTCCAATGAGATTTTAAAATTACAGTCACATGGCTAAATACAAAATCCTCATCGCTGTGTTAAGGTTCTGTGAATTGAGTCTTCCATTTTTTTTTTTTTTACTTTAAGCCACAGACTGCCAGCATGCTGGAGAAGGACCTTTGCTCCCGGTGTGTGAAAGCAGTGGTCTCCCTGCAGAGGTCCACATGCCCCCTCCATGCTGTGTCAGAGAAAACTCTCAACAAGGAGGGTGCAGAAGTTGCATGCAGAACTCCTGAATGCTGTGCCCCAGCACAAGGTGTGTTGGAATTTTACAGAGAGACCACTGCTTCAGCAGCCTGTTAAATTAAAACTATATATGTATTTTTCCTTTATAACATACATGTAAAGTAAGTGACCTCCTGGAAATCATGTTATCAAAGAGTGAAAAAAGAAACCTGTACTGATGCAGGCGTTGCCATTGCTAACTCTCCTAAGAATTCTAGTGGCCTGGCTGTCACCGATATAGAACAAAACACAGAGAAAGAAGGTCGGAGACCAAGTACTGATGCCACTGTTCAGCATCAGCCAGGAAACTAGCATTTTTAGAAGGAAATCCCAGCAAAAGCAGACTCCCGGTCCTAAAGTACATTTTTCACTGAAGGCGATAAAAATACCTGTAATAAATAAATAAAAAGGTTTTGGTTGGTATCTGCAGCTGAAAGCCATCCACCCACCTGTTGGTAGTATATATAGGCCAGGATTCCTGCCAGGATCTCCAGGATGAAAATGCACATCAACAGGATAAAATACTGAGGACAGAAGAAACAATATAATTAGAATGAATTATGATTCCAATCAGTTGTGACAGCAAAGGTGTCATAGACAACCCTAACACATCCCTATTAAACTAACACAACACTAGGTGATAATAACCAACAGAACATGCAATTGCTGTAATGAACAAAGACTTTGGAGCAGTGTATGGAATATAAAACATCACCATTTGAAATGTTACCAGCAGGTGGCATTGTAGTCAGCTACAGCATGGAATCTTTACTGGAGATAAATGGTTCTCCTTAGGGAGGAGAGATCCCAATTCACATTCCTGACATTACACCAGTATTACAAGGGACCTGCCCAAAGGAGACTAATACAAACACACTCTTCTAGATGTACACCTAAGTAAACAGCAGCTGTCTACATCACGGTCTCCCAGCAACTCACATTATAAAGTGATTTGTGAAGATTACATAGATCCGTGGGTACAGAGGAGACCTAAAAGAGTTCTAAAGTCACAGCATATATTATCCTAATATAACATTAGCATTGTAATAGGAATGCATACTAGAGTTGTTTCTGATAATGCAATCAAAGGTTACTTGATAAAATCCCTGTTATGTGATGAGTGCTGATTGGTTGCCTTCCGTCTGCCTATCACTTTCATCAACTTCCTGGATTCCCAGTGCGCTTTGCATCTCTATCTGCTTCTTAATGTGATACACCACCGCACTGCAAGGGTTAACTGCTCGTTTTTGTCTAGGTTCAAATATAACAAAGTTATATTCACCCGATCCTCCGAGCCAGCTTGCTCTTAGACCGGTCCCTTCCGTCCCCCTCGTCCTCTGCTGCAGCGATAGTACGCTGAGGTGACATTTTCACGTCCAATACACTGAATAGAACATGATGACTCACAGGACCTTAGACTGCGGCAGCAGAGGGGGAGCGAGGTGGAAGGGACCGGTAATATCTAAATCAGAAATTGTAGCAAACTGGTTCACTGGACTAGAAAATAAAAAAACAAATATATTCCAGTATTTTTTCTATAAGATGTCGTAAAGAACAAATATACATAAAATGTTACATTTGGAAAACTCACAACTTTCAGCAGGCTCTTCCTCTCCTTAAAGGTTGCACAACAGCCAAGGATGCCGGTTACCATGACAATGGCACCCGCAACAACCAGGATGTAAGCTGTGGCAGCATAGGTGCTTGAGGGTAGCAGGCTGATGTAGTCACTTTTCTGGACCAGCGTCCAAACTCCTACAGCCATCACAGCAAGGCCAGCCAGCTGTAAATACAAGCAGAACAAGGGGAAACATATGAAGAGAGTTCTCTGGATTCTGGATAACTATGGTCACTTTACCCACCTGAAAACCTACAGAGCTGTGGGTGGGGATGAGCCAAGTATAGGCCTTCTGTACTTGTGTTTGAATGAATGACAGGATCTTCCCTGTCTATTCACAAAACGCCTTGCAGTCAGCCAAAAAAGACAAGGTGTTTCGTGAATGGACGAGGGGACAGGAGGGGGGCAATGGCACGATGCTTCAGAGTTGAAGCGTCAGCCTCTCCTGCTAGCAGCACCAGAAGATCACCTTTGTGGGGAGTATTACTCCGACATTACTGAGGGGAGGGATTATTACACAAAACAGCAGCCAGAAGAACATGGGATACACTTCAATAGAGGTACATTTGTCAGACCAGTGCAGTATGCCCAACAAATGTTTTTTTTAGAGAAGGGCAAGCCTCAAAGCCGAAGGCTAGGGCCCATTCAGCACCACGTCCGAGCCAGGTATGCACACATTTCTGCAAACGCGGTGCATTTGTGATGGATATTGCAATTCTGAGACAACGTGCTCCCAGTAGACATTGTTTTTGGGTGCACCCACACCCTTGCAGCTCAGAGAATCGAAGGGTCAGTTTTGGACTTTATACGAAGACTTGCGGGCACATACAGAAAAGTTTTTTTCATTCACTGGTATGTGTATTTGAAGGTAACGTGTTATTTATCCAATGCGCCCCCCTTTTTTCAAATTAATTCTGTTGCATTCCGGTGCTTTTTTTTACCCGTTTGTGCGTGTTCCAGTGCAGAAAAAATTTGACATGCAGAATTTTTTTTACCCTGCACCGGAACGGACTGCACTGGTGTGAAAAGAGCCCAGAAATTAAAAATACACTGGGGTGCATTTTTGGTGCGGAAGAAAAACATTAATGGTCTGGATCTGATCTGGACATGGTGTGAATGGGCCCTCAATGCTAAGCTTCACCCCATGTCTTTAATGGTTACATGGCACAGCCTATAAAGCACACTAAAATGTTAGCAATTGACAGTTAAATGATGAGCAGGGTGCTTGGAGGGGGTGGGGCAGATCAATGTAGAGTCTGAGCCTAGGACCAAATGGAGCTTTTGAATCCACTTGTATGGCAAGAGAAGAATTCTGGGACACAATGCATTATGTAGATAAATGTGTCATAATGACTCACCCAGAAAAAGAAGTTGAAAGTGAAGAGCAGGTACTTCAGACATATTGTTCCACAAGTCTCTTTCTTCTCATTATATTCTCCCATGGTGGCGATTCTGTAACATAAAAAAGACAGACAAATTGTCATCTACAGGAAAGGGACACTGTATGGAGCACCTACCTGCACAGCATTAACCGTAGAATTTGAAGCACACCTATGGTCACCTAGAACTCAATACAAAGCAGAATCTGTAACAGCTAAAATAGCTTTTATTCTACTAATACCCCTCTCTGCAGGCATGCTTGACACATATCTGACACAAATAAGACAAGGTGGCATAGGGCGTAAAATCTTCTAACCCGACTCACTTCAGATTTCATATTAAGGCTAGGTTCAGACCTGCTAGTGCACACAGCGGTTGCTGCTCGGCCCCATTGATTTCAATGGGGTTACATCCGTGCAGTAATCGCTAAAAAAAAAAAAAAAAGTACAATTAACTTTTTTTGTGACACACAACTTTTTAAGTGTTCAATTGCATGGGCAGGATCACGGCGGGAAACCGCACGATCCGCCTGGCGCAACTGGGGTACAATTAGAAAATAATGGCACTGCCAGCGTGATTAGCTGTGGTAGGCGACTCCATGACCGCACAGCAATCCACATGGTTTAGTGCACGATTGCCGCACGGTTACGGATCGCCCAGATGTGAACCTAGCCTAACGCATTTTCCCCTAAAAGACCCCGCAAGTACAGAAAATGACCTGCCGATATACAAGAAATGCACTCGGCTCTAATGTGGACCAATAACACACAAGACATTTTTAGAACGAACGGGGTCAACTCATCTAGTTTTGTTTTGCTAAACTACTCAATCCATCCCACTGCCTATCTCTAAAGCAGGGGTAGCCAAACTCCGGCCCTCCAGCTGTGGTGGAACTACAAATCCCATGAGGCATTGCAAGATTCTCACAGCCAAAGACATGACTGCCGGAGAGGGATGCATCATGGGATTTGACAACATAAGAACTGGGAGAGTTAATAGACTGACTTCTGACACAACAGAGAAGTTCATTGGTAGGTGTTACATACACTTTAGGGTCACCGCCTGCAGTTTCTACACTGTACAAAACACAAATATTGCCTGAAATCGCCTCTTTGTTGTTCATTGGTGGCACGAGGTGTTTATGTGAATTTTAGGAGGAAATAAAACAGATTACACGGTCACATGATGCACACAGATAATCAAAGTGACGTGACATAAACCAATGATTGAATTTGTTAATATATCAAGGTATCCCACACGGATGAAGCATGTGCAGCCTGAAACAATCCAGCAATCACTTTGAGGATTTACATTCATGGTGATGCCGAGGAGTAATAATTAGTGAAAAGTCATGAATTTGGGCTCTTTTGTTAACATGTACAGAACAATGGTGGAAACATGGCACCTGGAGCTCCTAGAATTGCAGACAATTAGTCAACATAGCCACTCCCAGAAAAGTCTGTATTACAATGGAACTTTAATCTGGATACAGTAAAACTTGGCAGAAACATGTTACTATATCTAATTAATGGACTGCTTGCTGCATGTGCAAACTCTTCCTGTATAACATGGAAGGAATGACTTGTCATACTGAGTCATCAGTGAAACACATTCATTCTCCCTCTGTGACTCAGGATATGTATTCTCTCCATTCTCTCCAAAGAGGACTCCCAAACACAAAGCCAGAGCTGTTAATACAACCTTCTTCATAAAAGTATGCAATAGGCAGTTAGAGATATTGAAATACATTACGATAAACAGAGCTATTATTATAAACAGAAATCTCCAAACTATGGACTTCCACTGAGGTTCCAAAGGCAAAACTACATTAAATATGGGCACCTGCTTAAATAAGTACACAATGGGGGAATTTATCAAAACTGGAGCAGACAAAATCTGGAGCAGTTGCCCACGGCAACCAATCAGCATCTCTTCAGTTAGCTCAGGTAAGATTTGAAAATGAGACAGAGAAGTGGATTGGTTGCAATGCAAATCTGCTCCCGACTTATAAATTCTCCCCAATTAGTTTTTGTTAATGTGATTTGATTCAACAAGACCAAATTACCTTTTGAGTGTGCGGCTATTCCTACCTGTATGATCTGCACACGGCTTGTAACTACAGGGCTATGTGCGGTACCTTTTTTACTGCTGTATCTGAAAGCAAGCTTCACATTGCAACTGGTAGAGTTAGAATGAAAAAGATCGATGATAGAATAGTGTTCAAATAAAAATAAGATCGCATTTTGTACAAATTTACTGCAACGTACAAAACAAAAGCCGCGCACAAGAACAGGAAAGAGGGAGGATGGAGTGTAAGAGGCAGATAAATAGACTGACTGGGATACGATTCTCAAGGCACAAATTATTACTTTTCATTTATGCATAAAGCATATTAGGCTGAAAGGATACACTGCCAGAAAATGACTACGTAGCTATTTACAGTGGGCAGATTATAGTTTACTTCCAAACATCCCTGGAAGCTCCCCGAACACAATTTTCTTATGCCATATGCCAACATTTCACTGCTTCTAAAACGTAGTGGCAAATGTTGTGTCTAAGAATGTGACACATAATCCATAGTAATCCAATCCATAGAACGCTTCAACTCACAAACTGCCTGAGACCATGGGCAGAGTAATACATCTAATAAAGGTCCCTGTTCTAGAGTGACAACATTCTGCCCTTGTCTCCCAGTCGTGCTCCTGCGTTGTCACATGGGCTTCTGGCAGAGGCTACAAATGTACATTTCAAAATACATTTCTCAAGAATGGTTCAGTGTGGCAGTCATGAAGTCCACTTTGAGAAATGTCTTTATAATGTCATGCGGCCATCAGCGAAGTTCTTGCATGTAGACAGAAGGTGGCTTCAAAAGAAGGCTGCAGGACATCAGCAGCACTATAATGCAAAAAAAGGAATGAAAAAGGAGAAAACAAGATTTAACAAATAAAATGTTTATGAGACAGAGTGCTCAAAAGGAGAACTATGAGGTGAGTGATCTCCATAGTTACAGCCGACCTGTGATAAAGAACCTGTCACAGGTCGGCTCTATCGAAGTGAGCAGAAATATGCCGCCGATTCGCTCATCTCCCTGCACTGAGCTGTGACCGCCAGTCACTGCTCCCCGCAGGGATTCCCCCTTCCCCTCTCCGATCCTCCAGCGCTGAGTGGAGGAACAAACAAGGGGGGGGGGAGGCCCCCGAACACAGCTGGCTTTGCCTCTAGATAGGCAGAGCCGGCTGTCACTCATGCAGCTGGGTGGATCCAGACGGTATCGTCGGGATCCGTCCCGACTACGGCGCTCTCAGTATATCGCAAGTTACACTGAATCACGGGAGGGGGTTCTCTTTTAAGGCGGACCTTTACCCATATCTTTAAAATAACAAGAAACACCTTTAGAACCGTTTAGTGATGACAATCTACAAACACATACTTATATATAATTGCCGGCTTTGTATTCTTTGCATACCATATTTCTCTTTTCTTCCCCAGTCTTCTGGCAGTGGCCATGTTTACTAAGGGCAGATTAATAGCTCTCCTTTTACTTCCTGGATTTCTGGCACATGTGACTAGGACATGTGACCATGTACATCATCTCAGGGGAGGAAAATGCCTTTCCCTGAGATCTCGTGAGATTACAGATGAGATTTCCCAGCAATGCTCTGCTGATGACAAGGCAATCCCAGTGTACATTGCTTTGCCAAACTGAAGTCATTTGCACTTTCAAAGCAGGAAGTGAATGCTCTGCAAGTATTTCATAATCACAGCATTTTACCCCTGACATGTCTGGTTATTATTAATCCTCATACAGAGGGGTGCATTGGTAGAATTAGATTTTTGCGTGTAAAGATCCGCTTTAAGCAAGCTAAATGTCAGTGAAGTTTACATCTAGTTTAACAGAATGATTCTGTCACCTGATAGACAAAGATAGTCACCCGCTTAAAATGTCACCTATATTAAACCCCTTGCCAAATTTCTAGATTAAAACAATCAAATCATTCTCACAGCTAATCCATGTTAGATGTGATTGAGATTTTAAGATGTGTGTTGTTATAAACAAAATGTGTTTCAATGCATTTTCACATTTGCTGCATATTGATTTTGAAGGTCTCCATTCAGCTAAGGTGAACGGCATAGTGCAGGTCAATAAAGCCAGCACTTCAGCAAGCAGGACATTAATCAAAATGTACTGCAATGCATATGTCTGCTATAAAAGGGCCCCCATGGGCATAATTAGATTGTCAAAACTCGCCTGCCTTAGAAAACAGCAGCTATGTGAACAAGCCATTTGTAACTGGTACATTTTGGAGCACACGGAGAGCACTGCACAGGGCCACATAATTATAATAATAGAATATTTGGCAGTAGCAGGCGAGGGCTGCATACCTTTTCATAATCCCTTACTAGAATAAGTAAAGCCTCTACATAAGATGACAACTTTAACAACATCACACTATATAAAAAAACACACTACATGCCTTCTGAGTAAAAATACTCTCAACATTATGTGAACAATGCAGCCATCTTTCACTTCTGATTTCAATATGGACTGCAATGTCGCATAATAACCTGAATGGAGGGAATGTGAGCAGAGTGGGCTCAGATGGAGCCGGGTCTTACATTTTGTGTGTGTTTGTGTGGCTGGGGGATGTGGTTGGCTAAAGGGTAAATATTGTCACACAATCTATGTCCCTCCTCCCTCCCATGCCTGACATTTAATGCCACCAAGAAACATTGTGAATTTCTAGTGGGTGTGAACATTCCTGCAAGAGGGACACTGGCTGCGAATGTTCTACGGAGCTGGCAGGAGAACTCGAGGGAGCAGGTTACTGGAAAATACAAGGACCAGGCTGAATCTAAACAGAGGGAGTACTCCATATTTAAAGCTGACAACTTGTTATACAGCACAGCGACGACCGATAGAAGGAACCGCGTAGGAGTAAAAAGATATGGCAAGGTCTGCATAAAATACCAGCAATGATGTGTGATATAAACTAATACTGTACAACGATATTACTGTGAGGGCTCAATCACACATCTGCGTTTGGACTGCACGGTTTTCCAGCGTAGCCCGA